TTTTTAGAAGAGTTTCTGTGAATGAATGAGTCATGTTGGTCTGCACATTTTGCAGTGACTTGAACGTTAGTTTTTCAATACTAGGAGGAGAACCTTAAAAGTGGGGTGTGTTTTTTTTTTTTCATTTGTTTCATGATTTTTCTTCAGTGGTTGGTGTTGAAAAGTCATTGCTGTCTTTGGCAAACCAGAATATGTGGAACCTGCGTGAATTTTCATTTATGGACCGTAACAGGCCAAGCTTTAATTGTTGATCCAGGAGGAGGTGGGAGTGCTCAGACCCTTCAAAACTGGAGTGGTCTTCAGTTCTACTCCTGAGGCTTTACTCCAGGCATTTGGAAATTGTGAAATGCTAAACTAATAAAAGTGTGTGTCTTTAGAAAGTAAGTGGTGGCAACAACCTGCAGGGAGGTCAGTGCTTACTTCAAAAGAAATGAGCTTCCTTCTGTGCTGCAGCATTGCCATATATAAACTCAATCCCTGCGCATAGCAAACTACTGTTTTCTCATCTGGTTCTGAAAAGCTGCACGTGAGAACAGACATTCGTCTCTGAACTTGTAGATTGAGGTATCCTGCTCCCAGTCTTGCTACAGTTTTTAACTGCTAATTTGAGATTGGAGTGTGTACAATGACAGAGCCAAGATTTGGCAAATGTGGGTGATCCAGTTTTGGAACTAGAAAGAATTATTAAAGAGGTATTGGCATTTAATGTAGGTGGTGTTTAATAAGCATGGGAATCTTGATTAAGCAATTACCTCTTTTTTTTTTTTTTAACTGTATCAACATGTGAACAATTTTCCTTTTGGGGTCAGTGTTCCCTCTGCAATTGCCTTTGAGCAATAGTGGGCTTTGCAATATTTGTATTTTTAGAAATTGTATGGAAATGGATCATGTAATTTAAAAATGGTAATACATCTTATTTACAATGAACACATGAATAGCTGTTGCAGCGCTGCTTCGGTGGTGCATGACGAAGTAGCCCAAGTACGGGTTGTGGTCAGAGTGCTTATAGGAGGACAGCTTGTGTAGGAACATACTGGCTAACTTTTCAGTTCAGAGGTGTGAGGCTTTTATTGTCAGGCAAGGATGGGCGTTGATGCTTTATTTAGGGCTTAGGCGCTGTTAGCGAATCGTGGGTTTCTTAGTCTTGGGCATTATAATGAATAAACTTGACTCATATTTTGGAAAGAGGTAGGCAACTTGGGGAAGGGTGGGGAATTGCATGTGATAGTTCGTTGCTTCTCTGACTTTTATTTGGGGGAAAAAAAACCAACGCAAGTATTTGCCTGTAGATTCTTTGTAGTGGTTTAATTATATGGCAGGCATGTGGGGCGGGGAGGAGAGGGTGAGAAAATAGAGCTAATCCGTATTTGATCATAAGAGACAAAACTGTTACTAAAGATGAGTGGCCTGTGTTCTCTGTTTTCTCATGGCGTCTGATTTTTGTGTAAGCAGCAGTGCAGGAGTACGTTGAATAGGTGAGAACCGAGTTGCATAGTTGGTGGATGTGAGGACTGCCGAGTTCTCTCCCACGTAGTTAAAATGTGATTAATGAAAGGCTTGCACAACTTGTGTTACTGAGGCAGGAGAAAAAAATAGATTGGGTATGTGTGGCTGTTTTGCAAGATATGGTTGGCTGAGAAAAGTGTAAAGGGCTAAGTCTGGGCTGTGCTTGGGCTGGGAGCTGAGTCGTGTAGCTAGGGTCTGAGGTATTCTCCTGCCTGAAAGGTCCTCCTCTTCAGGAGGAAACCGCTTTAAAGGCAGTGAGCAAGGCTTACAGGGGGAGACAGACTAGAAGAAAATGGAAGAAAGAAGAGAGTGTGTATTGCCATGTTCTGTTGTCCTCAGTCACGTTTGACTTTTCCTTGTATTTCCTCCCATAGCATGGAGGGCATCATTAGCCAGGTGTTTTTGTGAGTCCATTAATCCCTTTGGTGACAAGGAGCCTCTTCCTATAAAGCAACCCCAGGAATCCGGCTTGCCCACGGTTAGGAAAGATCAGGGCTTGGTAAGGACAGACCTGCCTGTTGTGAGGGAGCGGGAGGGACCATGAACTCCCCATTGCATCCGTTCCACCTTCTCTCCTCGGCTCAATCTCCCGTGGCAAAGCACAAAATTCGTTTCCAATGTAATCAGTTGGAGCAAATAATTGGTGTAACAAGAATTGTGGTTTCCAAGGTTCTGTTTAAAAAATACAGCTACTTCCAGCTGCAGACTTAATTACGTAGTCACTCTTGGGCCTGCCTTCGTAATCTCTTTTTACACTCACCTGTCCCACCCAGTTTTAGTGGAGTAACCACTTAAACAGATCGTGGCATGTGAGCTATGACTGGAAGCACCTTTGCATAATGGATGTCTTTATTTTCCTGAGAATATCTTTCTCCGACTCTTTGAGGGTGACCCATACTGTAATTATTTCCCTGCAATCCTGGATGTAGAATCCAGCCTTCCTTTAGGCAACGTTCTGAACTTATACCTACAGATTGTAAGGCAGAGAAAAAGCATACCAGAGATGCTTTGTATTGTCTTCAAAATGTGTTTACCACTGTCAGTGAAACTAGTAAAATACTAGTTCTTCCCTTAGGTGTCATTGGTTTTATTTTGTTGTGGGATGGAATAATTACTTGTTGCCGTGGATTATAGAAAGCATGAGTGTAACTCTCTGAACTGAAACATGAGTTTCAAATAATACTGTATATTATTATTACTGTGTTTTCCCCCAAAATTGTAAACCTCTGTTGCAGCAAGCTGAAGATAATTTTTATACCTATTAGGAGTTGCCCTGCGAGCAGAAAACAGGATATGCTCAAAGTCAGATGATTTGGTAAAATTTAGTGGGTGCATGACTCCTCTAACAGATATATCTGAATTTCCTTCAAGATATGGATGGGACCAAAGAGTTCTCTGGTGCTGCATGGCAGTTTTGCCACTCTTCCGTAGGCTTCCTGAGGTCCCTTCTCCCAGCGCACTGTGGGTGGAGAGGTGGTGCTTCCCAGGGAGCAGGAACTGGTGTTAAGCAGCCTGTCTGCCTGGCTGGGCTGCCAAGGGACGTGGTCCAAGGACCACTTGGAAACCAGTTCTTGGAATGTCCTGCTTACCTGGAAGCTACTTTCTGTGCTGTGAAAAAGAAGGAAACCTGGAAATGGTACCTCATAGGAGCAAGTATAACTGGTACTAAGGAGCTCTGTATACCTTTTGATTCTTTTTTTGTTTGTTTGTTCCCCCTCTACACCCCCATAACAGCAGTTTATCCACAGTTATAAGTTAAAGCCCCAAATGTTCAAAACAGGAACTTTTTTTAAGGTTTAACGGTCTGCGGGACAGCAGGCCCAGGGATGTCCATCTCTCAGACTCTGCGGGCTGGGGCAGGTCTCTCCCTTGTTTAGCCAAATCCAAGTTTCTGGAGGAAACAAGCAGAATCCTGTGGCCGGAGAGTGTCAGAGCAGATGGTCGTAATGGTCTCTTCTGATTTAAAATCTAACAATTCTCACACGCACCAGCTGCTGTGTTTTGAATCGTGTAGGAGGGCGCTTTCTGATAGAATGGGAGCATGAAATCAGGCAGGAATGGGGTGTGTAGTGGCCGTTGCCTACGGTGGAAAAGATTGCCTGGTGTGGGCAAAAAAAAGCTCAATGGGAAGTATCTCTCCTCTGCAGAGACTGAACAGGGGAAGTGTCTGCTGCCCCAGGCTGAGGAAAGCCTCATTCTTCCAGTGGCTTTTAAGAATATCAGAGGACAGTGAAGAGAGAGTGCAGTTTGTTGTAGTAGCTGAAAGGGATGGGTTTTGTCCAAACTTGATTCCAGGGCTAAACTACTTGCTTTATTTTTGGCTGTAACTGCAGAGGGCTGGTGGGACAGAAGGAAAATGAAATTTAAAGCTTCATTATTCTTGGTCCATGTTTAGTGTCTACTAAGTGTTCCTGAAAGTTCACATGGCTGCTTTAAAGGCACCTTGAGAAAGGCTGTTTTCTGCATGTTTAATGCAGGAGCATACTGAGCAGGACTGCAGGTATGTAAGAGCAGTCTGCCGTGATACGCCCTGCTCTATGAAATTTTGTTCATATATCATGCTTGAGATGTATAGCTGGCACTTTGAGTAGTCTATCTAATGTGGCTTTTGCAACTGCTGGAAAGCCAAGGAAAGCACTCTAGTTCTGATCGGGCACTGCAACCGGTGGAGGAGGGGAGATCCTCTGCAGGGAGATCCTCTGCAGAAATGCAGAGGATTTGGTAGGGACAGGGGAAGAAAGGAGAGCTGGATCTCTGGCTGTGTTCGGGATGGATTTGACAGACACCAGAGTACAAGAGTATGAGAGAGGGCATTACAAAGATGAGCTGGACATTATCTGGGGGGAGCTTCTGGTTGAATTTATCTCTGAGAGAGGACTTTGGTGTGTGTTAATTTCCCCCCCCCCCCTTTCCCCCACTCTATACCTATTCTCGTTACAGACATAGGAATGACTAATTAAGCAGTGACTTGCAAAGGGATAGAATGACAAAGCTGAAATCTCTGTACCTGCAAGTGTGATACCCAATTACTTCATAGTGATGAACAAGATTTGGCTTCAGGTGGCTGTAGGGTAGTGTGATGCTGATTTTTCAACATATGAAACTACTTTTTTTCCTTTATTTAAAAATTAAAAGAGCTCTCAGGTGTTCGTATTAAGTGAGATAGGCAGACATAAATAGAGATATGAAAAGTCTGTTTATGCAGAAAGGTGAAAAAGGAGCCCCAGAGTCACTGCTGAATAATCTGGATTACATCTCTGTGGTATTGTATTCATGCATTGAGTTGTTTTGCTTTATGTTTGTTTTCTGTAAGGTAAATTGCTTATGTTGCAAAAATGAATACTGGGTAGAATTGAAATTTATTTAATTGGATTTTTAAATATCAAAACATCTGAAAAATAAACAACAATAAGAATAAAATGCTTGTTGTGAAGTTTTCCTAATTCTTCATGCAATAAGTGTGATTTTTTTAAAAACCTACATCTGTTTTTCAGGAGAAACTGTAGAAGGCCTTCGAGAGAGCGATTGTCTTCTGATTCATTCATGTCGGCAGTGGACAACAATTACAGCTCACAGTCTGGAGGAGGGTCACTACGTCATAGGGCCAAAGATAGAAATCCCTGTACATTATGCAGGTAAAGCTATTGTTGACCTGAAATACAAATCCAAAGAGAATGAATTGCCTACCACTTAAAGTGATCACCTTATTTGACAGTGAAGCTAACTAAGCCTCTGATGCCGGTGTCTGTGACTTAACGTTTTAATAATGTTACAGAGTGCAAGAGATACTGACTTACTCCCAGCGCTACTGAATAGATGTATTTCATTGGGCAGCACATTGACAAAACACATAGCTACGTAGAAGAATTGGTTTCTCATCTGTGATTGTGGTGACAAAAGTGTGAAAGTTTGAAAATGCCTTGAAATGTTTGGTCAAAGGTGGAATGGGTTTTACACTTCGTGGCATGTTTATTTAAATAAAAGAGCTCTCAGGTGTTCGTATTAAGTGAGATAGGCAGACATAAATAGAGATATGAAAAGTCTGTTTATGCAGAAAGGTGAAAAAGGAGCCCCAGAGTCACTGCTGAATAATCTGGATTACATCTCTGTGGTATTGTATTCATGCATTGAGTTGTTTTGCTTTATGTTTGTTTTCTGTAAGGTAAATTGCTTATGTTGCAAAAATGAATACTGGGTAGAATTGAAATTTATTTAATTGGATTTTTAAATATCAAAACATCTGAAAAATAAACAACAATAAGAATAAAATGCTTGTTGTGAAGTTTTCCTAATTCTTCATGCAATAAGTGTGATTTTTTTAAAAACCTACATCTGTTTTTCAGGAGAAACTGTAGAAGGCCTTCGAGAGAGCGATTGTCTTCTGATTCATTCATGTCGGCAGTGGACAACAATTACAGCTCACAGTCTGGAGGAGGGTCACTACGTCATAGGGCCAAAGATAGAAATCCCTGTACATTATGCAGGTAAAGCTATTGTTGACCTGAAATACAAATCCAAAGAGAATGAATTGCCTACCACTTAAAGTGATCACCTTATTTGACAGTGAAGCTAACTAAGCCTCTGATGCCGGTGTCTGTGACTTAACGTTTTAATAATGTTACAGAGTGCAAGAGATACTGACTTACTCCCAGCGCTACTGAATAGATGTATTTCATTGGGCAGCACATTGACAAAACACATAGCTACGTAGAAGAATTGGTTTCTCATCTGTGAATGTGGTGACAAAAGTGTGAAAGTTTGAAAATGCCTTGAAATGTTCGGTCAAAGGTGGAATGGGTTTTACACTTCGTGGCATGCTCAAGCTGGAGGGGATTTTTTAATATTTCCATTTTAAAATCCAGGAACCCTTCGTAATAATACTGCAGTTTTACACTAATGCTCGTCAATAGTTCCTTGTCACTGTCTGCCTTTTTGGATGATGCAGTAATACTGTTGTTCCAAGTAGGTATGATGCAACTAATCCATATTTATTTTACAATTTCAAATTATTTTTACTTTCCTTGGAAATGATTTTTAATACTGTTTCCTACTGCTTAACATCCTTATTCACAAGCTGAATAGAACAATACCATATGAGTGGGAAGTGCTTATCTTACTGCAGTAGATACAAAAATTTAAAAAGCTGGAAAGTGTGAACTGAAAGAGCTATGGCTACGAAGCAAAGATGTGGGCTTAGTGTTTTACTTGGTCTTCTGTATAGCCAGTTGTCAACTGAGTAATCTACTCAGCTCTCTTACAGTCTCCTTTAAAGTGTTGGTGCAATGAGGGTGTGCTGAGTTGTACAAGAGCTGACTGAAATGTTTTATTTCAATCACACCAGTGCTGCAACTGCAGCGATGCACCCTATTTCAGTGATGAAATTTACACGAGTTGCCTTCTTATGTACTGTTTCTCCTTGAAGTTCACTTCTGGAACATTAGTTTTTTTAAGATATGTTTAAAAGCTTTGGTCTGATGGCATATAGTGTCATAATATACGTGGCTTTAAAACTCTCTGAATTTAACTTTCTTAGTACAAACAGTTTCTAACGCTTGTGCTTAGTAACACTTATTTTTTGACACCTCCTGGCTGCATAAGTTTCAGTGCTGTGGCCAGATAAACACTTCGCTTCCTTCAAGCTGAATGCTGTGTTTTAAAATCCTCACTGTGATTCCTGGAAGAAGGAGAACAGAAAATGATTATTGGCATGAAAGAAGATTGGATCTTAAGGGGTCTACTAAAGCTTGGTTATTAATTTTTAAAGAAATTAACAAAGATCTGCTAAGCAGGGTTTCCTGACTCTTCATACTTCTATTCATTCATTGCTTAAATTTACATAGATACCAACAAAATCAAAATCTGTCCCCTAAGATACTGCAAAAGTATCAATGTGCTTTTCTTCCTGGCTTGTGTTAATGCAGGAAAAGAGTGTGTGTTTAGTTGGCAGAATACGTTTTGCTGTCAAACAATCTCCAGAAAGTTCCCTGCCATAAAGCCCTCGTTAATGAGATGGAAATACATGAAAGTTCAGAAACTGCCATGTAGTGAGGGCACTTACTGAGTATTCGATGGGCTCCAGTGCTGCCAAAGGAACTTCACAAACATGGTCAGTGCTAACTTGCAGTACCAGAGCATGTCTGATGGGCTTGCCTACAAGAAAGGAGAGACGAGTCTAAGCATGTGAAGGTTTAGTTAGCAAAGCACTGCAATCTGGTGCTTGGGTGCTAACATCTAAATGCATTTAGAGACATCTTCCATACCCTAAAGATTAACTTATGCTGCTGTGGAGTACCATACAGAGATCTATAAGCTAACACTGAGTGCACTTTCAGTGCTGCATTGTGCAATGCCTCACATTTACTGCTTTTGGGATCCAGAACCCCACACTAAAGAGGCAAAAGTTTAATGTAGCTGCCTAAGAAGGCTTGCTGGGCTGGGTGCTGACCTGACGCAGTTATGCCGCTAGCTCTGGAGCTAGCTGGGGTGTCTGCTCTGCAGTGAGCTCTGGGAAGGCTGGGAGGCGGGAGCGCACCAGAATCATTACCTTTCTGAGGAGGACATGCTGTTACCGAAAGGTAGTGCCGTCAGGTGGCAATTGCTGTGTGAGCTGGCTGGCACAGCCCTCCGTTTGCATGTGAGAGCTTTCAGTCTTTGCAGAAAGCACAACTAATGGCTCAGCCATTAGTTTTTGGTTTTAGAGGAGGGATTTTATGTCCTTATAGGCAAATGTTTGTAAACTGTATTGCTGTATAAATTTTGGATTATAGGACTGACTTTTTGCCGGCCTTAACTTTAAACTTCTGTCAAGTAAGATGTACTACCTACCAGAATGACCCTTAGAGATGGAATGTAAGAGTTCATTAAAATTACTTTCTAGGTTTGTTTCTGCTTTAATGGAATAACTTTTCTTTTTTTAACCCCTAGCAGAATTTTAATGTAGCAAATTGCAGCATTATTTTGGTTGCAGCAGTTGAGCGGGAAGGGAAGTTGAAACTTACGTTATTATCCTGAGATTATGGGCTTAAGTACCACAAAGTCATCACTTACATATATAAATACGAGTATAAAGTAAATCTTGTTTTGCTACTTGCCAAATCAGGTTTTGATACACTTATTAAACCTAAATACAATAAAGCCTTATTAAAGAAGGAAAATGCTGCATTTTATGTTTAAGTGAAATCTCATTAAGAGAACCTGAGTCATATAACAGTCATATATGACAGCTGTTAGTCTAACCATTCCCTCTTGAACACTCTTTCCAGTCTACTTCTCTTTAGGGTAAAAGCTGAAGTTAATGTAGCATTCCGTTCAATTTTCATGTAATTAAAACCAAATGGCTAATGTGTTTCTGGCTCCTAAAACAAAAGAGGTCTTCACATGCGTATAGAATGGAGAGCAGATCGCAATTACTGTCCTGATAGTGCCCTGTCTTGGCGTGAGAGAGAGTCACAAGCGTCCAAGGTAAACCATCACAACAGATGGACATACTGCTTTGGTGTCCTTCTCTTTCCTCAGGTACACAATTCATACTTGATACTTACAGGAAGGTCTTACCAGCTTTCTATCTGAACTAGTTTTATATTGTTCCTGGTACTACGATATCCTTAATACTAAATTTCTAGTGACACTCACTCAAGTGAGTGTGTATCATCCATACTCTCCAGCGGATGACAAATGTTACTGATAGTTTTGGCTTAGGCAGCACTGTAATCTTTACCTTGATAAATGTCTCCCTTAGTAGCCTCTGGAAAATACCGTTTTATGATCTGAATTTGGAAGATACAGGGCATGTTGGTGTCCTGCAGAATTAGACTTCACTGTGCTGCTGCTCATCAAGAGGAATGCCCCTTATTCCTCTGCAGAGGTACCTGCGTGGGAAGATGTGTCCCAGGGGTGCTGATGACCACGTCTCAAACGTATTCTGTGATAACTAAAAGGCATCGAAGACACTGTCTGGGGGGTTGAGCACTGTGGCCCTTGGGTGTTGTCTGACCCTTCTTTTGTTACCTTCCAGGGCTATATAGCTCAAAACTATTAAAAGCGTTTTTCAGGATTCATCAACTCAAGCACAGAGGTCTTCTGCTCTGACTCTAAACAACCCAGGTTCAGCCTGTTGTAAATGCCTGTGTTATGTGGCCACAATTCCTGAGGTGTGCAGAGTACTGATTTGAAAGCTGATGGAGTTGGATGTGGTTGCTTAAAACTTGCTGTATGGGAAAAGTGGCACAGAGGGCTGTGGAGTGACCCACGTGTGCGTGCGTGCCCTCACCTGCACAGCGTAGTCTTATCTTTCAAAGGCCGTGCTAGTACTGGTGAGTGTATGCAATGAAAGAAAAAGTACTTTGGGATGGGCTGGCAGCATCTAGGTTATTTTGCCCCAAATATTCACTCCCACGTTTAATCAAATCATAACAGGACCTTTACTGTTGTTTTTTAGGGCCTTATCTCTGTTGTTGCAACTGATGGTTCATTTGGTCTCCCGTCCATTTGAGGGTTTTTTCCCTTCTGACAGCAAAGCTGTTCCCTCGAGATGATGTTTAAAAAACAATAAAAATCCAAACCCTACCTTTTTCTTTAAGCTTCTACTCAGCTTTGCCCAGGGTTTGGAGGGAATACCTCTTGTGTCGCTGCTGCCATCTGTGTGCTCCTAGGAGGCAACTAATAAAGAAAATACTTTTATGAAGACATTAGAAAGTAACACCCTATTCCAGGGTGTGCCACACTGTAACACATCCGGGGTGTTGGAAATACTCTTCCTGTGAACTCATACCTCCCCACCGCATAGTGAAGGTGTGCAATTGCCAATACAGAGTAATCACTAGTGCCCTGTCCAATTGCTTACCTAAGTGTGCTGATAGCTTTCTTAATGTCTTTTATATGAGGAAATATAACACCTTGTTACGTGAACCTTCCCCAGGTGGGGTGCCGGGTGGGAATGAGTCAGAAGTCCCTTCTCTGGTGTTAGAACTGGTGTACAGTGAACATCCTACTGAAACCTGTTTCTACTGGTTTGATTTGTTAATCATGGAGCAGTGCCTGATGGGCCTGTTCCTCATTGCGTCCTGCTAACATGGAGGAAGACGCTTTCTGCAGGTCTTCTCAAGAGTGAGTGACCTTGCCTTTGCAGCGGTGGAGCAGAAGAGCTCCCTGAGATTTTGCAATGTGCAGCTGCAGAAGTTTCTCTCTCGTGTCCAAAGGCATGCCTGCCTCTAAGACACAATTTTGCAGTCCCAGCAGGCCTACTGCTGCCCTCTCTGGGATAATCAGACCTTGGACACTGAGGGAGGAGAGCTTTGAAGTATGGTGTGAGTTAGGCATCTCCTAGTTGTCTTGAGATGGTGACAGCAGCTGCTGTTGCTCAGTACCCACCCTGAAGCTGATGCATCCAAGATCTGGAAGAGCTTGGATTTTTTCTTTGGTGATACTGAGCACTCTTAGATGTTTATAGTATGTTGGCTCCTCTGTAAGTATGCTGTATGGCTCT